CCCTTTCATCATTGTCACTGACACCATCACTACAACTACTACTACCACCACCACCATCATCATCATCCATCATCACCTCTTACCACCCCTTCTCTTCTTTAGAAACAATTTTCATTCAATGCTCATTGTACACCCCCACTCGATTCAAAATGCTGCTGCTCTTTCCACCTTACCTCTCGCTCCAAACTCTCCGCGTATCTCCCCCCGCCACCACCCCACACCGAACTCTGGCCGCACGCAGGTATGAGTATCTATGGTCCTGCCTGCACTTGGGGCGATCCGAAAAGAAAGTCATTTCTGCCTGAAAATTGCCACCCCTCATCGACCGATGGATCACCGTTTCGTCGACATCGGAAATAGATAGACTGGGTGGTGATTTGCGATGACACTGAGTATGATAGTCACTACCTCAGGGACATCAAAGTAAAAAGGCGTCCGGTGGATCGGCGGATGTGGTGCCCTACCTACCGGACTCGCTGCCGAGGCGCAAAGCCTGAAAAAGTCGCTGTTGGCGATGGTCACTGATGGATGGAACCGCTCGATTGCCAATCAGTGTAACCTGGTCTCGGAGAACCAACGGACGAGGTCGCGCTACGAAACGACTACCGTACTGCTCCTTTTTTTTCCCCCCCTCAAACTGACAATTTCCCTGTTTTGGCGAGGTAAGAGCACTGAGCCCGATGCCGTTGCTCCCCGCTGCTGCAATCACTGGGGACCAATGGAAGGGGCACGATAGAAAGGCTAGTTCCGAATCGTGATACCAGGGCGAGGAATGACATCCAACGGGGAGGGCCGACATCATCGGTGGGTGCCAAGCACCCTTAAGATCCTCGTCCCAACTACCGGGTCTGCCTTGGAGGCCGCGTGGTCCGTCCATTCTGTCAGAGACAAATTGAATTCCAGTGGGAACGCGGCCATAGACTACTCATACCCATACAACTGTCAGGATTAGGAGATTCGGCCATCACAGTCAATCATCAAATCTAACTACGAGTATAACCTACTCGGCTTGCCTTACTCGAGTACGTAGTAGTCATCAACACTAACTTACTATGTACTAGATTCCCCAGTCTTGGCTATCAACCCGCCTTGTGGCTGTGGTTGGCCTAAGGATCAAGCCACCCAGCCCCCATGATCATACTCTACTGTATTTATCTCCTGTAATCCTGGTACTTTCAGGATGGCATGTCCGATGGCGGTTTCTGATCGATCACCAGCTCAGTTCTTAATGCGACAGAGCAGGAAAGACCGGGCAGTTGGCCATCCCTGCATCTTCACAGCAGCCCAATTCGGAAGGCTACCAGTCCATTGCCAGCGGGTAACACTGGGCCTGCCCTGCCTCGAGGTGCCAAACGGACCCTGCTAGGGCTGCTGGGGTTGGTCTGGCGGCCGCCCTATAGCAGCAGCTGCTATGACTACTACGTATTGTTTGCAGTCCAGCGAGACATTGGGGAAGCTGCTGCGGAAGTATTCCCATCCCCTCTTCTAAGGTTTTTTTTTTTCCTTTTTTTTCTTCTCTTGCACAGCATACTACATTCTCCCATGCAAAGGAAGGTGCGGTGGCAGACAGTGTCAAAAGTACGAAATAAAGAACAGGATATCCTGAACTACTGTAGACTTTACGCAGGTTCGTTTAATGACCGAAGGCTGATGCAGCAACTAGCGAGGACGATTGTCGGGACGGAGTGTCACTTGGAGCAATTGAACGATGAGTGGGAATACACATAAGACCACAACCGATAAACATGCAGTGATCTATCTAACTATCTACTACCTATCTGCAATCTCTGAAGCCTTGAGACAACTCCCACTATTACCTTTTGGGTTTCACATGGAAGGGTCGGATTCTGATCGGGTGATGTTGCCGTGCGTCAAATTGCCTGTCATTGGCTGCTGATCATGACATAACCACGGCGGGGGGAGGGTTTCATCATCATGATACTATCAATCTTTTCCCTCGCGTTCCGTAACGATCAACTGCACTGCACTATGTACATACTGTACTATACATCTGGAGTTCAGTGAGCGAGTCAGACCGAATATTGGCAGTGTAGCCAAGGGACACGTTTCACCCACCCTTGCTGGTGGCTATTCCTCTGTCTTTGTCCGCCAAGGGTGGTGGTGGCTATGACTTCACCCTCCATGGCTCCGTATCACACCTGCCAAGCAACCCTGTTGGATCGCCTGTTGGAGGGGAGGGGTGGGTAGGAGGCTGTCAAGAAAAGAAAACATCCGAGAATTTAGCGAGCAAGTACAGACTACCAGTGCTTGTATGAGTATGAAACATGGATCATAGAGGTCATCGACCAGACACAAGTCTACATACTACCTAACTATAGCTCACCTGCACCACTTGGTCTACGCTATTTTTGCCAGTCTAGGAGTAGAGCTGGAAACCAGGCTGCCTTGGCACGGCTGGGCGCGATGGACCGCGCCCCCCTTGACTCCGCCTATCGGAGGCCACCGTACGCCCTGGCGTTACCCGAAACCAGCTACGGCTGGTTCCTTCAAGGGTTTGTTCATTCTTCACCATCCACCTATGCGGCTATTGTGTAAGATTCGGGGGATGCTGAGTAGGTGCTGCAATGGGATCACTCTCATATACTAACTAACCTATTGTATATCAACATAAGTACTCCGTACTAATGGTTGAGGACTGAAGTACTGAGTACCTGGACTAACTGTACCTTAACATTGTACTCTGTACTCCTACTATTGAATCAGATCAGCGGAGATCATTCTTGACACCCCTGCAGGGCGAGAAAAACGCTCTAAACCCAAAGCGGCTCCAACCTTAATTGACCTCTCATTCGTCCACCGCCTTCTCCGTTATCTCAAAGAATCTCATCATCGACCAGTCTGGTCCGCGTCATCGCCCTCACTTACCATTGGAACACACCCTACTCTTCCCCCCTCCTCTCTCTCTCTCGATCTCAAGTCTACCATCTCCCTTTCATACCTTCACTTTCTGCGTTACAGTCAAACCTGTCTCACCCTATCGCCCATCCGCCCGCCCGCCCGCCCGTCGATGGCCATTTTTACCTCACCCAGGTCCCTTCAGAATGCTCACTCGCCTCTATCGCCTCAAATCATGACCCAGTCCCAACCGGGACTGGGCTCCGTCATTTTCCCAAGTGGCGCTCCCCATTCAAATCACCCATCCTTCTTCCACCTCGTGCTGCTCGTCTTCGAAGCTGTCCTCGAGGTAGTCTGTGTCAGTCTCCCGGGATACTTCGCTGCCAAGCAGGGTCTGTTCGACGCCGATGCTCAGAAATTGGTCGCAAACCTAAATGTTACGCTGTTTACACCGTGTCTGAGTATGTTGAAAAACATAACACACTGTCCAAGCACCTTGGGCTTTTGCTGACTGTGCTTGTCTGTAGTCTTCACAAAGCTCGGATCTCAGCTCACAGCAGAAAAGCTGACCGACCTCGCCATCATCCCTGCCATCTTCGTTGTTCAAACAATCGTGTCGTACTCGTGTGCCTTCGTCGTCTCACGATGCTTGCGGCTCAAGAAACGACCGTCCAACTTTGTTGCGGCTATGGCGGTAAGTGCCAAAGATGACCTGGACGAAGCTTCATTTTCCGTTGAGCGCAGTGTTGACAATCCCGATTGCTGTAGGTCTTCGGAAACTCTAACTCGCTTCCTATTTCTCTTGTCATGTCCCTCTCGCAGACCCTGCAGGGCCTCCACTGGGATCGTATACCGAACGACAATGATGACGAAGTGGCGGCGCGTGGTATTCTTTACCTTTTGATTTTCCAGCAGTTGGGCCAACTTGTGCGCTGGAGCTGGGGCTACCACGTCTTGCTTGCTCCCAAAGAACGGTACTTGGAAGAAGCCGAACGGGAGCAGGGCGCCAACCTTATCGGACAGGGCCAGGAACGATACACAGACAACCCTGAACAGATTGATCCCGATGAACCTCTAGTGAGGACTCGCGAGTCGGACGATGTGACCGAGTCCTCGGGAAGCGTCGACGACGATGCATTCACTTCCGGGCAGGAGACGCCCGTGAGCGTGCGGGACTATCCCTACACGAAGCTGCCGTCTCATGGCGCCGGTGAACACGAATCCATCGACCCGACCGTACTTGGACCCCCTCCCCAGGGGCCGTTCCTCCCCCGCCAGAGCACTACCGGCGACATCATGTGTTTCCCGAATGTGGAGGTGGCAGCTCAGGCCGAAGAAAACCAGCCCGGAGTCATCCCACGCATCAAGAGGTCGGCCAACCGGGTTCGTGGTAAGATTGCAGGCGTCTGGAACAAGGCCACCGGCACAGTTTTCCGACGACTGCCTGTGGGTGTGCAAAAGACGCTGAAGGTTGGTTCCAACGGTGCCCGGAGATTTGCCCACGGACTCTGGGACTTCATGAACCCACCCCTGTGGGCTATGCTCATCTCGATCGTAGTGGCGTCCGTTCCCTCGCTGCAAAGCCTGTTCTTCGATGAGGGAACCTTCGTCCGCAACTCAGTGACGCGAGCTATCAGCCAGAACGGCCAAGTTGCCGTACCATTAATCTTAGTGGTGTTGGGTGCGAATCTCGAGCGTAACACGTTGCCCAAGGAGGCTCTCGAAGACGTCGATCATCCGAGGGAGGAGAAGAAGCTGATCATCGCTTCATTGGTGGCGCGTATGGTGCTGCCCACGCTCATCATGGCACCCATCCTCGCGCTGCTGGCCAAGTACGTGCCGGTTAGCATTCTGGACGACCCGATCTTCATCATCGTCTGCTTCCTGCTCACGGGCGCCCCATCGGCCCTGCAACTGGCACAAATCTGTCAGATCAACAACGTCTATGTCAGCGCCATGTCGAAACTGTTATTCCAGAGTTATGTGGTGTGGTACGTACCAGCGTCTTTGGCCTTCAAGCAACCAGAATTAATGACTGACCGTGAACCTGCAGGATCCTACCCTCCACTCTTTTCCTTGTTATGTGTGCCTTGGAGGTTGTCGAGTGGGCTTCTGCTTGATCTTCGGGTGTTCCTATTTCTTCTTCTCTTTCTTATCTTCTATTCTCCTTGTTTTCTCGCTTGGGATGGACCATTGCATTATCTGCTGTCCAACTACATCATTATTCCACTGGGGGCTCTGCGGCGTTGGTTTGGGTCAAGCACATGGGTCATGAAAATGTCGCGTTGCGTTTCGTTTTGCCCTTTTCTGTGTTAATATTCCCCTCGAGTCTCGTCGTTCTTGCACTGTTTCTGTCGGTAGTAGCCAACAAGTACTCGGGGGTGAAAGGGAAAGAATGCCCAGATTGAATCCACCAACTCGGATATGATCTGGAATTGAGCTATTCAAAAGTCAAGTCATCAGACCCTAGCTTTCTTGCGAGAATCGAGAAAAAGAGGGGCAAGCAAGAAGCCCCAGAATTTTCCAGACCAGACGAACCTCAAACCATGGGATTCTGCTCGTGCAAACTGTATCAAAAGTATTGTTAGTATCGGAAGGTGGGGACAATCCAGCTCGAGTCCTCGGTCTCTATAATGTGGTTTCAGTAGTCGGTACGGAGACTCCGGTTCTTTGTTGCGGGCACAGTGAGCAAGCCCCTCTATACTCGATCCAGATCGAGACAGTCGACCATCGATATAAACACAACAACGCCACCAACATCCGAGAAAAACCATTTCCTATATGGCACGAGGAGCATACCCAACTAGAGAGACAGGAGGAGGATAAGCAAGAAGCAGAGGAGAGAAAGTCTATAGGTGTGTGTACGGAGTATGTCTTATGTCTTTGTACAATATGTACGGAGTACAACCCCTCCCCTCCCCAATCCCCCTTTCCGGTGGTGTCGCGTGCCCGGATGCAGGCCGCTTGTGAGGTGTCATGCGCGGCTTGCCTTGTTCGGCTTGGGTTGACCCCTCCTCTTTGGATCTGACTCCATGGCTATGTTAGGTTGGTATGAGGGATTTTGGGTGGGTGATGTAGACGCATGAATGGACTGGGTGCGTGGGTGCCGTCATCGCGCGGTACGGCGTGCGGTGTGTGGTATGCGGTATGTGGTACAGTACAATATTGATGAAGTATATATGAGTTACGCGGTTGATCGGCGATTATGCGCCCACACTACGGAGTAACTGATTAGGAGGTCTGCGCCGATGTACCCAGTATTGTAACTATTCTGGTCGGTTCGAATTAAGGTCTACTGAATGGTTGTCAAATTGCCTGGTGATGTTTAACGGGTCGGTGAGGAAGACTTGGATACTTTACTATGAGAGATTCGCTTAGGTGACGGTTGGGATTTCGGGGCCTTGTTTCGAGGTTGTGCGATGGGACATTTTATGATCTTCGTGATCAAGATGGGGTTTTATTGAATTAATAACCGGTTCTAGATTCAGGACTTTCAAGGAAATAGAAAAAAAGAAGAAAGAAAGGCAAGTAGTTATCCAGCCCACGGTAGACAAAAGGTCAGAAGTCAAAAAGGTCGTGCCCGGGATCGAACCGGGATTACAGGAATCAGAATCCTGGGTGCTAACCATTACACTACACAACCGTGGAAATGAGTCAAGACGAGGTCGTGCCCGGGATCGAACCGGGATTACAGGAATCAGAATCCTGGGTGCTAACCATTACACTACACAACCTATTTGGTTGAGAGATTTGTCATTCTTACGCAATATGAAGAGTCACGTGTGGCTAGTCTACTAATACAGCTTTGGACTGGCGATTATGACAGGTTGGGGGGGGGGGGGGGGGGTTGATTCGTGGTGAAAATAAATCTAGCTTCGAGATCCGCACTTCCCCGAGGCAGACAGTTCCTACGTTGCATCCGAATCGAAAAGCAAACAGTTTCTATCAATACTGCTATATGTTTGGATCGTATGAGGACCTTTTTACCCACTTAAAGCTGGGACAGCATCTAGGAGGGCACGAGGAATCTCGCATAGGATTTGAATGGAGCGATAAGACAGATTCTAAATAAGACTGCGTTAAGTGTCTCATGCAAACGATGTCCACGGTGGAAGGGAAGGAAGCTTGCCCGATTACCTCACACGATTCGACACTGGCATCGCCCCTGAATCAGAAAGCAGTCTATCGACCGATGTCCTTGACCATAGCTCCGAAGAAGTCTCGCTAGAAGACGTGATAGAGGAGCTTCACTCCAAGTAAGTACGCAGAGTACGCCTCTTATGTACATTAATGTATAGTAAACCTGTGCACCCGACCATGTCATTCACCCCGTCAACCAAGTGCAGTACTCGGGTTGAGAAGCTAGGCTACGCACCGAGCAACGCAGGCTACGATGCGCGCCGGAGTGAGCCCAGCGCGCTCCAACGGCAATATGTGGCCGTGTGAAGTTTGTCCATGAGTCGAAGAGAAGAGGGGAATCACCTCAACACGATCTGTTGAATGCAAGGATACTTCCTCAAGGAAAGAATGGGATCTTGAGGTATATACATGGTTTGTGGTCGTGGCGAGCAGGTAGACGCTCGGGTGCTCGTGAGCTAGGAGCCTTGAAGAGGAGAGAATGCGAGTGTGTGCTATCGCCAGGGTTAGTCTAAAGTCATGCTGCAGTCAAATGCTTGTCCCCCAAATAGATCCCAAGTTCGGTCAACAGGCACATGAACCACTACCGAATCACCGAAGCGACGAGCTGGTAACTATACGTAGGACCAGCATATTCAATCCAGAGATGGGTGCGAGTGAACTGTATGTCTGGCATTCACTATACTGCATCGGACCAGGCGACGATAAAACCGACGAGCTCGCATTCAGCACTCGACTCGACGCGAAGGTCATGGTTCTACTGGGTCGATCGCCCGGCCCGTCCGTCACCCCACCCAGCCGAAGTGGTGTGGATCCATGATAGCAAAATCTTGCCGATGATGCCTTGTACTTTTCGAGCGGATGCTCAGTACTGAGATGTCAAGGTCATGATGTTATCTCGCAATCGCCCTCGCAAGAGAAGGTGATGCGAAAGTGCCTCGTCACAAGCCACACCCCGATGACCATTTATCGCATCACGTCCACCACACAGGACAGGAGGATGATTGGATCACTGCATTTCGTCAAAACCGGCTATTCTGCCACCATCGCCAACCCTCACAAGGCATTGTCACAGAAGCGAGCCAATCGTGCAGAGTACAGACATCAGAAGCGACAGGCAACAGCCGCCGAGCTGGGCTCGACGAAGCAAGTGGCGCTGTGAGCTTGTCCTCTGAAGCGACGATCGCACTTCATGGCTAGTTAGTGATACGGCTAGTGTAAATCAGCTGCGCCAATGATGGTGGGCGAGGCGTGATCCAAGTTATGACACCGTCGGTCGCGTCAACCTCGCGGGAAAGGCCATCTGCCGATCGGTGCAAAGGAATCAAGGTCGTCGTATGATAAGTCCCAGGGTCATGATAAGCCCAGCTTGGCTAAGCTTAGCATCCGCACTGTGCAGATCATGGCATCAGACTTCGTGTCGACCGCTGGCTGAACTGCCAGCCAACCACCAAGGGAGCTGTTGGGGGGCTGAGGACAGGTCTCGCTTGCAGGACCCTGGACAATGATATAGCACAATCGAGCCGACGGAATCCGAAGTGCCCTTTGGCTGGGTTGGAGGGTGACCCTGACAGAGCTTATCAGTTCAGCGTGGGTTGTGTTGACAGCTGCAGCTGATACCGCGTCATCGTGCAGATCCACTTATCCTGAATTCACTAGCCCCTACAGACCGGCCTCGGCTCGCCCCGCCACAGGAGAGAGTGAGGGGAAGGAGAAAGAAGAGCCGGAGTCCATTGCCCTCAGCTGAGAAGAACAGAATAGATTAAATGCATGACGTGCGAGGGGGAATGGGCGATGCCTTGTGGTGGGTTGGTTGGAGCCAGAACTGAAGTGTCGGAGAAGGAGCTGAAGGATAAATAAAGACCACTGGTGGTCCAAATCCATTCCCTTTCCCTCTTGCTCTCGCCTTTTCCTTCCTCTTCTCTCCAACCTTTCAGCTTGCCAGCTATTTTCTTCCCATTAAACACACATTGACTAAATTCCAATTGTGAGATATACTGACTTACCCAATTGCCCCATCATGGCTACCAAGATCCGACTTATCCCCAACCTAAACTACAAGAGGTCGGGCACAAAGTCCTACGTGCACCTCTTGCGCAAGTACCGCTTCAATACAACCAAAGAAGGCCCTTACTTCTTCGCTCCCACCCTTCACCAGGTCGGTCGGGTGTACCATGACAAGCCTATCGGTGGCAAGGCACATGTGCGGCGGGCGCTGAAGAAGCGCACGGTGGGCACTGACCAGGTCGGTGAAGTTAGTGCCGAGGACGTGCAGAACGATTCAGAGTACCTGGCTCAAGTGAGCATTGGTACACCGGGGCAGACTGTGAGTCTGGACTTTGACACCGGCTCAGCGGACTTGTGGGTAAGTCAAGCACCAGATCTACCTTATGTGTCCGGAGGAGTCAGCATCGCTGAGAAGAATCAAATAGGTCTGGTCCACTAAGCTCCCCTCTGCCACAATTTCCGAGTATGGCAAGAGCCACAATGTCTTCGACCCGTCCAAGTCGAGCACTTTCAAAGAGGAGGATGGTTACACGTGGCAGATCTCGTACGGCGACGGCTCCTCTGCGTCGGGTACGGTCGGCACCGACAATGTGGATATCGGCGGCATCACCATCAAGAACCAAGCAGTCGAGCTGGCCGAGAAGATGTCGACCGAGTTCGCCCAGGGTGCCGGTGACGGACTGCTGGGGTTGGCGTTTGGCAGCATCAACACCGTCCAGCCCAAGGCCGTCAAGACGCCCGTCGAGAACATGATCGCCCAGGATGACATTCCGGACTCGTCTGCTCTGTTCACGGCCAAGCTGGGCTCGTGGCGGGATGCCAACGAGCCCGACAAGGGCGAGTCCTTCTATACCTTCGGGTTCATCGACGATGCCACCGTGCAATCGTCCGGACAGGAGATCTCCTACACGTCTATCGACAACAGCGAAGGGTTCTGGATGTTTGAGTCTACTTCCGCCACGGTCAATGGAAAGACGATCACGCGCTCCGGGAACAAGGCGATCGCTGACACTGGCACAACGCTGGCGCTGGTGGACGATGAAACCTGCCAGGCTATTTACGATGCTATCCCGGGCGCGTACTATGACAACGAGACCCAAGGTTATATCTATCCATCCGATACCACAGAGGACAATCTGCCCGTTGTTTCGTTTGCTGTCGGCGACAAGCAGTTCGTCGTGCAGAAGGAGGATCTCGGTTTCGCCGAAGCCAAGACTGGATATGTCTATGGTGGAATCCAGAGCCGTGGTGATATGACCTTCGACATCCTGGGAGACACCTTCTTGAAGGGTATCTATGCCGTAAGTTCTCTTGGCAACTGGATGCCTATATTCGACCCGTTGCATGATAGACTAACCAATGTCTTAGGTCTTCGATGTCGGCAACCTTCGCTTCGGAGCTGTCCAACGCAAGGAGCTGCAGCAGAACCTTTCCGTGCCCTCTGAGTAATCTTATTCGACAGGAAGTATGGGTATTTCAATGATATCATGTATGAGAAGCTTATGTATTATGAGGAATTGATTTCAGTGATGATTATTGGCAATGAGCTCTCTCTTCGTGAAACGTAACCGTAGAGTCAGAGCATTAGCACACAGCACAATAACGTTGTCCATACTAAGTAAAGATGAATTCAGGAACCTGATTAAACACAAATGTGCCCAGAATTATTCAGTAATGAGGCCAGTCACCAACACTTGCACCTTCAGGTGGCCCTCTTCAGGGTACGGCGTCCCGAAATCACGCTTGAGTTCAATAGTGCTTCGGGGCGTCTCGTACAGCTCCATATCGAACCGCCGAACAAGCGCTGCGATGACAAGGTAGAGCTCCGCGTAGGCCAAGCTGCCCGGATGTTAGAAAAGGAACGAGAACTCAAATGTGGAAAACTCACTTCAAGCCCACACACATCCGACTCCCTTTCGAGAAGTTCACTAGATAGCGATCCAGACGATTTCCAGCGGCAGCGGCCCGAATCCAGCGTTCAGGCTCAAAGGCATGCGGGTCAGGAAAGATGTTGGGATCCATGAGAATGAAGTAGTGCGTCTGACCGATTGGGGTCTGGATTGTGGCCTTTGTCAGTATGCGAGGTCCCGGCCTATACGTTCGTTGCTCGACTTACTCCTGGTGGGATTGTGTGGCCTTTATATTGCAATGCCTCCGTGGGAACGACCCGGGGTGAGAAGCTAGCGATTCCTGTGGAAAGGCGCAGGGTCTCATTGACCACTCCAGCCTAGACGAAAGTTAAAGTTAGATCTCTCGACCAAGCAACACCCATCCCGAGGAATGTGAAGCTTACCATGTATGGGAGCTTTTCCAGCTCGTTCCACGTAGGGCGGGAATCCGGCGTGGGCATCACCTGCTTGAGCTCCTCTCGCAGCTTGCTTAAGATCTCAGGCCTATCAATCAGATGATACGTCCCGACAGCAAGGGATCTTGCAGTGGTCTCCGTCCCTCCAATGGTCAGTGCAAAGCCATCATTCATCAGTCGCTGCGGTGTTTTGAGATGTTCCGGCACCTTGGGCCCTGCAATAGCTTCGATGAGTGTCGGCTTTTCGGGCTTGGAGGTTGTATGACTAGCTTTCAATGCTGCCAAGCCACACTCATAGAGGTCCTTCTTCTGGCGAGCCAATGCGTATGCGGGTGCGCTCACTTGGCGCAGCACGTTCAGCGGCAACGCGTCGATGAGGGCTTGGATCCACGGAAAGAAGTAGGTGAGATGTCCCATTTGGAATAGGGCGTTGATTCCGTCGCGCACACCAGCATTGAAGCCTTCTTGATCCAGGTTGCCTGGGTTGAAGCCAAATGCATATACATGGATCACGTCGGCGGTCAAGGCGGCAAATCCAGCATCCAAATGAACTACTTTGTGTGACTCGTAGGCGTTGCGTAGAGAACGTACGAGTTTGTCAAGACTTTCATGGATCAGGTACTCGATGTTGGAGATTGCCTGCTTCGAGAAGAACTTATCCAAAGGCGCACGGCGCGGGCGATGGTCCTCATCGGTGATGCTGGAGAACCCAGAGCCCTCCAGTCCGAAGCGGGCGACTGTGACTGGATCTTTCTCGCGCTTACGAGCTCTAGATGCGTAGATCTCTTCATAGTAATCTGGATCTCTAATATGTACTGTTCTCGGACCGACACGGACGATAGGACCTGACTCGGTTAGTAAGATCTGCCTCCAAGAAAAAGTTCATCCCGCTGGGGAGTTCGATATCACCAACCATATACTTCATGCATCCTCTCAATCTCCCATATGAATAGGCCCCCTTTGATCACATTATAATAGAACTCGTAGGCATGGGTGATCGCGGCGAGCTTGGGACCAGGAATCTTGCGCAAGGGATGGAAGTATAGTCTGTATATACTCCTCGCTATAAGGTAAAGGGTGACACCGCAACCCAACGCTGCCAGGGTTGCCATTTTGTTGAACGTCTAGCACCCAATGACTGCCGACTACCAAAATGTCGAACAGGTCAGGAGCGAAAAGGATACCTGGGAAGAGCCGCAGATTTTTATGACAACGTGGAGGCGAGCATGCTCGATACGACTGTCCCCGCCCCTAAAAAGGCCGAGACGTGCTAAGATTCATTAATCCGTGACCGCTGAGTGGCTCAGGTCGGCTAGAAGCCACTTCTCATGCTAGGAGTTGCAGCGCCGAACCATGACAGGCGATAGAGATCATATCGATTGGGTATAAGTTGCATTGCAGAAACCCCGCACTTGTTTCAAAGCGGCTCGATATTTTATGCTTTCCAACCCTCATGATGGCTGTGCTACGCTGTGCGATGTGCGTAATGTGGAGATGGTGAAATGCGGTCGGGCGGCCGACGAACAGTGTCTTGACCGCCTAGGAAATAGCATCAATGGTCCTCGATTCTCACACCATCGACTGTGTCCCTTCGTTTTCAACCCAGTGTTCAGGCGAAAAGACCCTTTGATTCATGTAGTACGCCATTTCGAGCATCGGTGAGCAGTGTGGACGGTCGTAAAGTAGGTTTTTGATGCGAGACTGGACCCTCATCGAGCAACGGACAGTCACTATTTAATTTAGTGCCTCGGTTAAATCAATAACGGTCAATGCCCAAGGGAGCGTGCCGTGGCGGGCTCGACCTACTCTTCTGGTATCCCACTCGCCTCCTAGCGCTGAGCTGGGTCTGC